GTTGTGTAACAATGTGGTGAAGCTTCATGTTGTGTGAAAATGTGGTGAAGCTTCATGTTGTGTAACAATGTGGTGAAGCTTCATGTTGTGTAAAAATGTGGTGAAGCTTCATGTTGTGTAAAAATGTGGTGAAGCTTCATGTTGTGTAACAATGTGGTGAAGCTTCATGTTGTGTAACAATGTGGTGAATTCGTCGAGGATTTACCGGAGTGCAGGAAGTAGTTGGCCCACTGCCTGCACTGATGGTGGGCTTCACTCTGAGCGATCTCGTTCTCATGGTGAGGAAAGGCCAGATCSATGCCCCCAGAGTGGAGGTCCAGCTGAGCCCCGAACACACAGCTGAGGGCAACAAGGTCTGTCAGTCTGAAGCTTTGATTTAAATGATGAGTCAGCATTTATTTTTCACAATGATTTTATAATCTAAAGTGTTCTACATTGTGTTATTTAGACCATTCTGATATAAGACTGTACCTACCATTCTACAGCCAGATTTACAGTCACCTTTAAAMTACTTGTACCTTCTAGGTAGCATTTAGCTTTTAGCTAGCCTGTTGCAATTTGAAGCTATTATTCAGCATTTTTTACTTTAAGCTACTGTTGGTTTGTTTTGGACTTGATTAACTAATTAATTCTTTACAACCAAACTGGGTCCAACAGGACACTGGTCCTGACCTCTTAGACTGAACTGGGTCCAACAGGACACTGGTCCTGATCTATTGGACAGAACTGGGTCCAACAGGACACTGGTCCTGATCTATTGGACAGAACTGGGTCCAACAGGACACTGGTCCTGACCACTTTTCTATTGGACTGAACTGGGTCTAAAAGGACACTGGTCCTGACCTCTTCTATTGGACAGAACTGGGTCCAACAGGACACTGGTCCTGTCCTGTTAGACTGAACTGGATCCAACAGGACACTGGTCCTGACCGCTTTTCTATTGGACTGAACTGAGTCCAAGAGGACACTGGTCCTGACCTCTTAGACTGAACTGGGTCCAACAGGACACTGGTCCTGACCTCTTAGACTGAACTGGGTCCAACAGGACACTGGTCCTGACCTCTTAGACTGAACTGGGTCCAAGAGGACACTGGTCCTGTCCTCTTAGACTGAACTGGATCCAACAGGACACTGGTCCTGACCTCTTAGACTGAACTGGGTCCATCAGGACACTGGTCCTGACCTTGGCCTACAAGTACAGTGTAATCCTACAGAGCAGACTGGTTCTTGTCAGAATGGTTCTTGTCAGACTGGTTCTAGTCAGACTGGTTCTAGTCAGACTGGTTCTAGTCAGACTGGTTCTAGTCAGACTGGTTC